TGAAAAAAAAAAAGATTTAGTGATGATCAGATACGAAACCCTCTGTTCACAAAATGAATCCTGTGTGAAATGTCTTGAATTAATCTGATTCAATCATTCATTGAACATTTATTGAGCAACTACCTTGTGCAATGTATGTCTTCAGATGCTTGGTTCTTCCTTCTTTTAAAAAAATTATCAAATATTATCGAGCATTTATAGTTCAAAAGGAGCAGTATTAGGAGCTAGGATAGATTGAGGAGGACCAGAAATCAATCTTTCTTTTTAGGAGCTCACATCCCCATAGTGGAGAGAAAGTATGTTTTTAGGACCTAGAGGTTTTGCATGCTTAGTTCTTTCTGTCTAGGATGCTCTTTCCCCTAATTTTCTGGGGCTCCCCTTTTATCCTTTGATGCTGGGTTGAAGGTCAGCTCCTTTGTCAAAACTTCTCTGGCGCCATTCTTCATTCCTACTGTGACCCCAATAACATCCTACTCACACATTTACTACAAAGCTTGTCTTGCTGTAGTGTCTTTGCTTCTCTGTATTATGCGATTATTAGGAAGGGACTCCATTTTAATCATCTGGATAGATGTAGCACTTAGTATGAGACCTGGAACATAACAGCTTCTCAAGAAATACATATGGTGTGAAATACTGGATGAATGGATAAATGTGAAACAAAATTAAGAACTATGAAGCATCCCAGATAGAAGAACAAATGCAATGCAATGAGATCTAGGGACAGGTATTACGACTAAGGGGAATGGGACAGTCAGGGATGAGCAGGATGTGGGAGCCAGGCCTCGAAGCACAGATGTGATGTAGTTACGTGGAGCCGATGAAGTGTGAGTCAGGGCTGAAGAGTGAGATCAGCGTGACCAATGGCACAGTGTGACCAATGGCACAGGGAAAGTACAGACCCTGAAGTGGGAGAGATGAGTTATTTAGATTATCTGCAGCCAAGGTTACCCTGAAGTTCACTCACAAAAGGAAGATCAGACTGGATTGAGGAGTTTGATCTCTGAATTGCCCTTGGAATTGTTCAGTAACAATTTTCATCCACAAAGTAATGCAGAGGGTTCTGAGCAGGAAGAGCAAGTAAAGCTGTGGCAGAGAGATGAGGTGTTCTTGAAGACTCTTTTTGTTAAGAATTTTTATTGATTTTTGAGAGAGAGAGAGGAAGGGAGAGGGAGGGGGAAAGAGCAAAATTGACATGAGAGCGAAACATCAATTGAGTGCTCCTGCACTCCCCCTAGCAAGGATAAAGCCTGCAACCCAGGCCTGTACCCTGACTGGGAATCGAACCAGCAGCCTTTTGGTTCATGGGGCAATACCCAACCAACTTAGCCACACCAGCCAGGGTGAAGCCTCTATTTTTAAAACCTGAAATTGGCTTTGATTTTTGGCAGTGCTTTAATATATAGACTAAGTTTTTCCAAAACAAAAATTGTGTTTTCAAAAGAGATGTGGAAGAAGGATGACCAGAATCCTCCCCATTCCCCTCAATCTGGGAATTTCAGATGCTTCCAGAACAGCCCATGAGGTCCCAGGAACTTGCCAGAGAAACCTGGGATGAAGCAATGCTTCTCTCCCTCACCTCATCTTCCCATGGAGGGCCGGGCTTCCGAGAGTGACTTCCAGATCATGCTGGCTTGTCCTTTTTCTTTAAGATGCTTATAGCTGGCCTTTACTCAGACCTGATTTATGACCTTCTCTGATCTCAGATTCCTGCGGAAATCCAGAACAGCCTCAGCTGTACTTCCCTATCCAGCAATCAATCCCGTTTTCATTCCAGTTTGTCAGGGGTCATGGTTTTGTGAGAGAGATACATCAACTGGTTGCCTCTCACATGCACCTCAATCGGGGCCAGGGACCAAGCCTGCAGCCGAGGCGTGTGCCCTTGACTTGACTAGGGAGCCAGGAGTCTAAGAAAAGGAGGCCTTGATTCTATGTCATCTTGTTTCCTTTTCTCCATTCTTTGTCATCCTGAGTAGGGAGAATAGGACCTGGGTTTAGTACTGGGCCTGCCAGAATTCTCTCAGTTCTTTTATGAATAAACTCAGAGTTGAAGTAGATGATGTTTAAGGCTCCAACTGTCTTTGATTGTGCTGATAAAATCTCCTGGAAGACCCGAAGCAATTTTGAGGCTCAATGAACAAGTATTTGCAAGATCCTCTGAGTTGCCAAAATGAATGAGATAATACGACTGTGGGATTAGCAGGATTCTAATGTATTTGTATTTCCAAGTGTCTATATTATATCTGCACGGTTAAGGTTGTAGAAAGTGGAGACACATCCCCTCACGGACTCTTAGTTTCCAAATGAATGAGCCACTTTCTGAGCATTCCTTTTTAACATGCCATAAAATTAACTGTGGAAAAAGACAATGTTACAAATATCTTCAAGCAATTTATGCACACACGCAGCTACACTTTGCAAGGCAATATTAGGTATCATTAGGCATTAAAAATGTTTTGATTTTAAAACACTTAATGAGGATTCTCAGTTAAATTACATCATCTCTGTCTGCTGCCTTGCATCGTAGGTGATATGTTACTATTGCACAATCATCGCCAAATCTAATTCCACCAGGAAGACTTCTAATCGCGGTTTAATTTTAGAGCAATATTCCACTTGGCAATCAATAAGCTGCTGTCGTCAAACTTTGATTTACTAGGAGACGTGGATAACATCCTCCACATTATGCAGAGAGAGGACTACTTTCAGGAAAGGGAGAGGAGAAAGTCTTTGTCTGCCACTTCCCCTGCTGCCTACCATTGGCACTCGCAAAAGCCTATAAATCAATACCCCCACGTAGTGTGAATATAAGTCTCATCAATTTTACATCATTAACACCATGAAAAAGCTACCGCTTTTTGAGCAGTTTTCTTCTGCTGGCGAAATATGTGCTCTTAATAAAACAAAGATGAATGGATTCTGATTATTCTCCTAACACACACTTCTTTCTTCACCAACCTTGTTTGTGTTGAAATCCACTGGAATTATACAGTGATGTCCACTATAGCAGCTAGGGATACTGGGCGCTGACAACACCCTCCAGGCATGAAGTCCAGTGGGCAGTGGGCAACCTGGACATGGTATGATGCTGAAGGGAGCCTCGCAAGGGGAGTACAGAGGTTACTGAATGGTCAGAATCGAGAAGGGTAAGGTGTGGCAGCAGATTCTTCAGGGATGATCACAGGAGCCTGGAAAGATGGCACCAGCCTGGGAAGAGATGTTTTGGAAGACCCGGGCCAGTGGTCCAGAACTAAGGTGATGACCGGCATGAGAAGCAGATGTCCACTGTCCTCAGAGTCTGGTTGTGTGCTGTGAGGTTCTGATGGCTCACGGATCCAGGGAAATAGAACAAGACCTTAGAGAACATCTAGTCCAGTGGTTCCCGATGTTTTCATGACATAGTTCCTATTGTGTGCCATGTCTTCCTCCATGGGCTCAGTAAGGAGGAAGATTTGTGCCCCCCCCCCAAAAAAAAAGAATGCAGTGATAGTCATTCACTTTCCTATTTGAATTATTTGAGCCCATAATGAATTTCCAATGAGAATCTTCCCCAAGATTAGCTAAGGAGTACAGCTGCCTGGTACAATCCCAAATAAACTTGGCATTTTCATTTGCATGCACAATGAAATGTGTAGTCTTACTAGGAATAATTATTCATTTCTGTTTAGCTTTTTTAGATGTTTAAAATTGCTTGGGAGTTCTTTTTATTACCTTTAATGACCCAGTAGGTCCAGGGCTTTGGATTAGGAGTCACTGATCTGATACAAACATCTCATTTGATAGAGGAATGCGCTGAGGCCCATATAGTGAGTGCCTTATGTCCACACAGTGGCTAGAATTCAAGCTTCTTAATAGCCAGCATGATGAAAAGGCCCTTCAAGTTATAAAGATCTTAAGCAGGTGCATACATATTCCTGTACACAGAGTACTGTTTAATGAGCATTTTTTTAGGTAGACTTAATAGGCAAATGGTTGTAAAGATCACTATCATCAACAGGATGGTGAACATTGTTTGCTGAAGCTTAGACAATCAAGGCAGGGAGGTCAGTTTCAAAAGATTTTCAAATTACTGACCAGCTATCCCAGTTTACCTTATTCAACAACTCGGGCCAGGAACAGTGCACGGTTCTGGGGTGACAGAGATGAGGAAGACAGACCTGGTGGGGAAGACAGGCAAGGGACCAGGCAAATATGTCAGAGAAGAAGGTCTTGGGAAGCAGGACCTCGGGAAGCTGTTGTGAAGAGTCCATCAGGCGTTTCACCATCACTGGGACTGACATTCCATGGAAACACAGAAGGGAGGAGTTACTCCTGCAGGGAGAGGGAGGGTGAGCCTCGCTCAGGGGAGGTGTCACGAGGTGGTGCTATTTCAAATGGCCTTTGAAAGAGGAAAAGATTCGAACCAGTGGATAAAAAGAACAGGCAGACAGAGAGAGAGGGGGACCAATTCGTGAACAGCCTGAGATATGGGGGACCCCACATCTAGCCTAGATGGTGACTTTGGACAAGTTAGAGAAAGGGGTTTGTTTCTCAAGACACTCAGTCACCATCTGTGAGAACATCGTAGCCATGCAAAGGCACGGTTCTATGATTGTGAATGGCGCCCCTGTGGCCGTGCAGGGTAGGTCTTCCGCCTGGTATGTGAGTGTGTTACATATCCAGCCAGAACTCGAGCTGGGCTGTGTCAGGAAGAAGGATGTAGCAGAAACCTCCGCCACTGAGTGGAGCTGACTGGCTCGGCAGGCTGAAGGAAGCCGGCACACAGACGCTCAGCCGGCGTATGAGCAGCCCTGTTTACCTCTCCGGTCACAGCACTAAGACCTTGGAGGGGAGACTCCCTCTCTCACGGGCAGGCACAGCTCTCTTTCCTTCCATCTGGACCAAACAGCTTTTCCCAAGCCCTGCGGGCCTGTTCACACGTAGCTGAAATGCATCTCTCATTGATGAACAGCTCGAAGGGAAAGTCCCCTCAAAGATGCTCTTCCTTTTGTCTCTCGCAGGCCCTTCAGCATCACCATGCTGTTCACGAAATTTCCTACATTGCAAAGGACATCACAGACCACCGGGCCTTTGGCTACGTGTGTGGGAAGGAAGGGAACCACAGATTTGTGGCCATAAAAACAGCCCAAGCGGTGAGTACCCCATCCAGAGAGGGCACCTTCCCTGTGTCTTGAGGGGACAGTGGCACTGCTGCTCTCTGGAAGCCCACTGTGATGTTTGCCTCAGCGATGCCGGTACTCAGGCTCCCATCGAGAGAAGATACACAGTCTGGAAGCGGGAAAGCACGCTCACGCCCATCCGGTTTTGTTGTTGTTTTTACTAATGGGTATTTCGTAAGGACTCACTATTTTCCTTTCTGATTAAGCAGGCTTGGAGGCACAGTATACAAATAAGTTTCCTTGTGTTCATAGCCTCATTTAAAAAGAAAATAAGAGAAAACAAATAGCCACTTTGCATAAGGCCTACCCTAATTTTATCGTATCCGAAATTACTAATAAATAAAAGCATTGCCTTTTACGCCAGTGATTATTATGAATTTACAAATATAATTAGTTGGAGAAATGAACTTTAGCCTAGATGCAATTTGCTAAACCAATACAAACAAGGTAGAGTTAATTAAAGATGGAATGCTTTCAGTTTAATGGGAAAAGGAAGAGCTGTGGGTTGTAGCCAGCGCACACAAAAGTGGGTCTTCGCAGCTCAGGCGCATCCCCTTATGAATAATGTGTTTTACCACCTTCCACTCCAGGCTGAACCTGTTATTCTGGACTTGAGAGATCTCTTTCAACTTATTTATGAATTGAAGCAAAGAGAAGAGTTGGAGAAAAAGGCACAAAAGGATAAGCAGTGTGAACAAGCTGTGTATCAGGTATAGCTGTGAGTTTATCCCGATACCAGGGAAGATTGGGGCTTAAAATAAATAGATGTGAAAACTGACAGTCAGGGCTTCTCTTCCTGCTTCCAAATAGCAATACAGATGAAAGGTTCTCGTGTAAATTACTAGCTCAGAAGCGAGCCGTGAGAAATGATCCCTTATTCTCTGAAATTCTAGACATGTAAGAGAAAGGGAAATCTTGAATCCAGAGGAAGATCAGGGGAGGATAAAGAAAGAAACACAATTGCTCTTGCTGTTGTTACAGTGGGTGGGGGTGGCTGCAAGAGTTTTGTTGTTTTTTGCTGTGTGTTTTCTACCTGATGGCCCCCCAGCCTATCCTACACAGAACTGGCTTCTTTACTGTCCTGTAACTTCTGAATCCAGTCTCACATCTCTCCTTATGTCCTCTGCTCTCACCTTCCCTGCCCTCGCTCTGCCGTAGACAATTCTGGAAGAGGATGTTGAAGATCCTGTGTACCAGGTAATTTCTGAAACCAAACGGGTTTTTAGGGTCCGGAATGGCTAGGCTTGTGGTATAGACACTGCGTCTGAGACCTGAAGCATTGGCTGCCTGCGGAGCCTAGACAGGGACAAGGTGGTTTCTGAGGGTGAGGGCTGTCAGCCCCCACAGGAGCCAGTTTCCATGAAAAGGAGCCAAAGTGTGACCAACATCAGTGACATGGGGTGTGGTGATGTGCTTTCCCATCTTGCCTTGCCCCCTCCACAAGCTGTAAATGTCTGATCCTGGAGCTGAACATCTTCATGAGTCTCTTGAATATTCTGAGTTCATGAGAGAGACTGAATAATGAGGTGGTTTCTCTGAGTCAAGAACTGGAGATAGGGACTGACGTTATGATGACATTTGAATACAAACCCAAAGGCTGGCTTTGTAAGCTTCAGAAAGGCTGTGGGAAGTCTCTCCCAGCTTGATCAGCCAGGCTGCCCCTCTGATGAGCTGGCTGGTGCCCAGGGGCTGTTGTGAGGAGGGAATGGGAGAACCTAGCGACGTCGCAGCCCACAGCTTTCTCTGCATGCTCTTCAGGGTTGCAGCCCAGGTGTGTGTAGAGACATGACTTCTCTTAGGCTCAGGTATGTGCTCTGCTCAAACAGGTCCAGGGAAAAGGGAAGAGGTGGCCTCCGCCCCTCACCCCAAATGCTTATTCCCAAAGAGAGAAAGAAGCCCAAAAGATGTACTTGCTGGACATAAAAGAAAACCTGAAACTTGTATTCTAACTGGGACGCATGTGGGTTCTAGATAAGTGTGTGTCACACATGCATAGGTGTGAATGCGTATTTTCACACAGAAAGCTGCTATGCCGAAAGTAAGATAATATGGATTTTTAAAGGCAGCATAATATGGATAACTTGTAGTGGAAGAAGTATCTAGCACATAAGACTAACAGAAGCCAAATGCACTTAATGACGGCCCTTGCTTTACAGTTAATGCTGAGGCGAGGATTTGTTTATAATGCGTGCTCCGCCCTTTGCTAACTGGCTCCAGAGAATGAAGAATGTTAGCCTTTAGAATGGGCCTGTCCTTTAGAGTCCCAAACACGCACATGGGCAATCTGATATCTAATGCTTAAAACTGAGAATGAAATCCGGGTGGTATTTATGGGATGAGGGAATTTGGGGCTTATGAGCACTTCAGAGTTGACTTAGGAACCTGAGCCTTGAGCAAAGGGGGGCGACTGCTGTGACCCAAAGTTTACAAAGTTGGGACCCAGGCATTCCCAGGAGATGTCATTCTCACTCAGCATGCCACGCAGGCAGGCAGTACTGAGACAAATGCCATTGAGTGAGGAAGCTGTGACTCCAGAAGAGCTGCTGGGCCCTGTGCAATCATCACGAAGTACTGACTGCCAGCCATTTGCAGATTTCTTTAGAAAAGGCAGAAATGTGCGAGGCCCACCGGTACTTCAGTAGTTCAGTGGTCTCACTAAGATGTGTTCTCTTGTGCCCGTTTCTTTAATGCTCACTGTGATTTGTATCTTAAATTCCAAATGCCTTTTTTTCCCCTCTTTCTTTTTCCTCTGACCTTTCCTCTCTGGCCGCTGCATGATAGTACATTGTGTTTGAGGCTGGACACGAGCCAATCCGTGACCCCGATACGGAAGAAAACATTTATCAGGTATAAAATCGCTTCTCTCTCAGCGTTGCGCCATCACCAGTAGATGTTCTGCAGGGTCTGAAGGACCAGGGCTCTCTCCGCACACACTCCACACACTCATTCCAGGCTGGTTAAGATACCTCTGCTTTTAGCTTCTCTCTAACTTACCAGCAGTTTTCATACCTGATCATGGAATGGTTAATGACCAGTTGGGTACAGTATTTTAACTTCTAATGGATCTTAACTATTTTCAGTTGACTCCAACATCAGCTATTCCATTTTTCTAAATTAAATGTCTGCTTATGTGAAAAACCACAAACACACTTTTAATCCATTTCATTCTCACAAGTATTCGATGAAGTAGGCATTTGAATTCCACTTTTACAAGGGGAAGCTGAGACTCGGAGAAGTTGAGTAGCTTTCTCAGGGTTGTACAGTTATTTAGGCCTGAGATCAAACCCAGGCAAAGGCTAAGCTCGTGCTCTTCCCCATGCATTTCCATCAAAGAGTTTGAGTAATTGCAGCCTAGCAACACATCAAACAAATATGACAACCTCCAGTTTTCACTAATTAGAATTTCAGTCCTCATTTGAATATAAACATTAGAGACGTAGGAACAATTTTAATGTATTTCATAAGTGATTTTAATTTTCTTAATTTACTTAGTTGTGTGGTCTGTTATTCTGCCTTGGGCGCACATTACTTGTGTAATAAAAACGAAACAGATTTTCAGTTTGCATCAAATGCATGGAGTTCTAAATGACCAAAGTGTAATGTTGGCTCCATCGAGTGCTCAGTTTTAACCAGCCCTGTGGAATAATTATCTAAGCACTGTTGAACCTTGAACCAATGAGTTTAAACTACCGTATTTGCCGGCGTATAAGACGATTTTTTGGCCCTGAAAAATATGCCTCCAAGTGGGGGGTCGTCTTATACGCCGGGTACACTTCAGATAGACTGCCCATAGTGCTTGCCCCGTGCCATAGTGGCCTCCCGATGCCCGCCCACTTCATTCCATATACCGTTCAGGCATCAGCAGCGCTGCTGGGTGTATGCTCGGCTGTTATGCGATTTTGCTATTATGCGATTTTACCACACTCGCAAAATCGCACACAGCCGACCATACACCCAGTATGATAGCGCAAAATCGCGAATCGCGATAACATACTGGGTGTATGGTCGGCTGTGTGCGGTTTTGCGCGTGT